GGTATAGCCGTCTGAATGAATATTTGACAAGTTAGGGTTATGTGAACAACGAATTATGCCCACACGTGTTCATAAAGAAGTCACATTTCAGATTTGCAATTGTTGTAGTTTATGTCGATGACATGAACCTCATCAGGACTCTCGCAGAGCTTGAGAAAATTGTTGCACACTTGAAATTGGAATTTGAGATGAATGATCTTGGGAAAACTCAATATTGTCTCGGCCTGGAGATCGAGCATTGTTCAGATGGAATCGTAGTACATCAATCGAACTACACCCAAAATGTGTTGTGACGTTTTAATAAGGATAAAGCAAAGCTTTCAAGTACACCCATGGTCGTTCAAACTCTAGATGCTAAACAAGATCTCTTCCGTCCAAATGAGGATGAGGATGAGGAAGAGATTTTGGAACCCGAAGTTCCTTACCTAAGTGCAATTGGGGCTTTATTGTACTTGGCTCAATGCACTAGACCCGACATCTCCTTCGCTGTTAATCTTTTGGCAAGATACAACAATACGCCCACACGCAAGCACTAGAATGGTGTTAAAGACATTTTCCGTTACCTTAAAGGTATGATGGATTTGAGCTTGTTATATACTTGCGAATCTTCGAGTGTTGCCACCCTCTATGGTCCTCGGATTGATTCTCGCCTTGTTGGTTACGTAGATGCTGGATATTTGTCTTGCCTACATAGGGTATGCTCTCAAACAAGTTATGTCTTTACCGTTGAAGATACCGCTATATCTTGGAGGTCTACCAAGTAAACGCTAATTGCGACTTCGTCAAACCATGCTGAGATTCTCACCTTGCATGAAGCATCACGTGAATGCTTTTGGCTGAGAAAAGTTATTGATCATATTTGAAGCACTAATGGTCTTACATCAGTCGTTGATCTTCCTACAATGATCTTTAAAGACAATGCAGCATGTATCGAGCAGTTAAAGAAGGGATACATCAATGGAGACAACACCAAGCACATAGCGCCGAAATTCTTTTACTCACACGCAGCAGCAGCATTAGAACATTAAAGTCAAGCAAATCTGTTCCCAAGACAACCTGTCTGATCTATTCACCAAGTCATTTCCCAAGTTTACTTTTCAGAAGCTCGTCCAAGGAATCGGTATGCATAAATTATCTAAGTTGAATCGCTTGTAGTTCTCTTATTTAGAAGTTATGTCTAACTCAAGGGGAGTATTTAGAAGCATACTCACTTGATCTTAATGTACTCTTTTTCCTACGATTATGATCATTTTCCCACTGGGTTTTTGCTACCTAACGAGGTTTTAATGAGGCACCCATCCTGGGATGATCATACTCCGTTGAGTTCACTACTTTCGTCCTGTTTGACGTTTGTTTTAGACATTATGCATTCTCACTTTTCTCCTTAGTATATGGGTTTTCCCCATACCCTTGGGTTTTACTATAGCAAGATTTTGTGAGTTTTACTACAAATGCATACTTTCTTAAATTTGAGACTCGCGTTCACCCATTGTGCCAATGACTTCATCAACTATTCTACCTTAACTATTGAAGATCTGATGCGATGGTTTGTTGAGTATTTACACACTCAAGGGGGAGTGTTGCAGTCATATTTAAAATATGAATGTGATTGTGCAAATCCTAATAGATATGGGAATGTACCTTATATTCCTATTAGAAGTTGATTACCTATTAAATGTTGTAATTCTAAAGGGACAGGTTTTTACCTATCCTACTACTATAAATGAAGGCACAATTGGGTGATACAAACACATCTCACAATTAAATCACTCCCTCATCTCTCTAATTGCCGCCGGCCCGCTCTTTCTCTAAACCCTAAAGATCGTTCAATCAAATAGACCTACACCATATATATATATATATATATATATATATATATATCTCTCTCTCTCTCTCTCTCTCTCTCTCTCTCTCTCTCTCTCTCTCTCTCTCTCTCTCTCTCTCTCTCTCTCTCTCTCTCTCTCTCTCTCTCTCTCTCTCTCTAAACTTTCCAAACCGTTCAATTAATAAAATAAAATTAATGAAAACCCTAAAATTGAAATGCCCAGGCTTTTCCTCCCTACCACACCCTCCTTCAACCCAGCTATCATTTGCCTCTGCCCCCATCCTGAGCGCAACCACGCTGCCATTAGTCTCTCATGCAATTTAATGGGCATTGGGTTCTCCATAAAAAAGCGGTGAAGAAGCTTGAGACTCCTCCGGGACGATGATCAAGAACATTGACTGAATTGAGGCTAAAAGAATCACACGGTGACCACTTGATTTTCAATTTTAGATCCGTCGCCATTGTTGTTTTCGTGTTGTTCATCGTTTTTTGGGTGGCTCAGTTCGCTGTATGAGAGGAAAGTGGTGGCGAAAATTCTGTTCAAACCTTGGGTTGGTATTGAAAATGAGTCAGAGAGGGTTGCAAAGGGGTTTTGCGGTGGAGAAGATCCAACTGGACCAATTAAAGCGATCTAAAAGTCTTTTTATCAGTTTTTTATTTTGTTAACATCAGAATTTTTTCAATAGGATCTAAAAGTCTTTTTCTATAAGCATAAATATGTTATTAACATTTTCATGAAAATGTGGGTAGGAAAATAGGACAATGGGGAGTGTTTAGTAGCACTAAAAAACAAACTGTTACAAAATTAAACTCTAAAAAATGAAAAAAATGCTACTAAGCCACCCAAAACTAAACCCTAAAAAATAAAAAAATGCTACTCTTACCACATTTGTATCATTTCTATGATAGAGATAAGACCCATATGTATTAGTGGGTCCTATCTTACGTTGACCACTGTAACTCAAGAGTCATCACTTTACTCCCTGAAAATTAAAATTCATTCCACTTTACCATGTTTCCGTTTCTTCTGTCAAATGGTCGTTAAAGTTGCTAAGTGGACAGGTAAAAATGTAATATCATAGGTTTATTTTCAGTTACGCCCCTGAAGCTCAATTTTGATCCCATTTTTCCCTTGGAACTCGATTTTGATTCCACTTTGCCTCTTGAAAATCAAAAGTCGTCATTTCATATATCTCCACTATGAATTGTTGAATGTTAGCGCATAGTGGATATGAATTTGATTATAAATCTCCATTATCTGTCTACATTTAACAGTAAAAAAATGTTAAGTTTAAAGGAAGAAATTAAGGATTTAAATTTTATTGGTTTGTTGTGCTTGAGTCGCAGAGACTTGAAAAAAAAAAAAAAAAAAATTGATGTGCACCCACATCAAACCCACATAATGAAATTTGGTTTGATTCCACGAAAGCAAATCATTCTTAGAAAAAGAGAAAGAGGGAAAGTTCAAAGCAGCATGAGTATGCATACTCATGCTGCTTTGAATTTTCTTTTTATATATGCATTTTTTAATTCACATCAGCATATTTGATATCTTTTTACTATAATCAACAAAATTAAGACAATGTAGGGCAAATTTTGAGTTTCAAGGAGTAAAATAACGACTTTTGAGTTTTAGTATGCAAAATGAGATCAAAATCGAGTTTCAAAAGGTAAAATGAGCAGGGCCGGCCCAGGTCCAATGCAGGCAGGCGACCGTCCGGGGCCCAAAAGAATTAGGGGCACCAAAATTATTAGAGTGATATATTATATATGTTTTTATAAGAGTATAAATTTATAAAATTTGGTTTAACGACAAAGAAATTTAGCTGGTGGTTTGTCATTTGAAAATAATGAAGAGGTCTTGAGTTCAAAACACCATGTGTGCTTATTTATTTTCCAATTTTTACAAATTTCTTTTCATAAGAGTATAAATTTATAAAATTTGGTTAAAGGATCAAGAAGTTTAATTAGAAACAATGGTTTTTATTGTTTAAAATTAACAAGATGTCCTAAGTTCGAAATGCTATGTGCATGTATATTCTTTTCAATTTTTACAAATTTTTGTTTGGTTGTTAATTTATTTTTAGTTACTGTGTAGTAGCTATGTGGGTTGTTATTTTTAAATATTCGTTTTAATTCAAGTCTAATCTTCAACAAAGAATAATACATAGACCAAATTATTTAGAGCAAATTTGCAAATTAGTAAATAAGAAAAAAAAACACCTCACGATTTATTCAAAAACACATTCAAAGTTTAGATGGAAAACAAAAATCATCATCTATCTACTTGTAAGCCCGAAGTTTTTTTGTTTCCTTCTCTCAATACAAAATAAATTAGTCTTTCTGTGTTTCTAAATTATTGAGTTTGAAGTGTTTTTCTAAGTACAATTTTATCGATATCTTATATGTGAAAATAAATAAATTTCTTACATGAAGTTAGGGCACTTTTTTTGAAATCACCCGGGACCTCAAAAATCTATGGACCAGCCCTGAAAATGAGATCAAAATGAGACCAAGTCATTCTGATTAAACAAACTAATTACGTTGTTGAAGCAGAGAAGGGACTTTGCTGCCTTGCAATTGTCAGGTCCAGTCTAAAGCTGTCCATATTTGGAAATACTAAACAGCAAAACTATTATGTTGGTTTTGACCTGGAGCAAGAAGTGGTTTCTTTTGCTCCTGTCGAATGTGCTGCTTTATATGGTAGGTAATTAATGACCTAACTTGTTCCACAAGTTTAAAAGAAACCAGCGACCTAACTTTCAATTAGAGAAATGGTAGCAAAGGCAGTTTCAAGAATTTTAATTAGAAAAATATAAACGAAAGCAGTTGATTGGTCGAAGGTGCCTTATGTGAGTAAATCTCACAGCTCAGTGTAATCAATTTGTGAGCACAAAGAAAACCCCACCAACTTAGTCCACTTAATGTTCGAAATTCTCGTTTGCTTTTTTGGTTAGAATAAAAGGAAATCGAACTCTTACATGTCTAATTCAAACTTAATCGGCGTTAACCTAATTGGACCCTAAGGGGCTTTTCGTGCTGTCGCTTTCATGTCACATCATCAACTTGGGTTCACCGTTCACCATAAAGATTCACAATTAAGTCATAATAATCTAAAAGCTTCCGTGTGGACCTATATTTGCTCTAAATATCACATATCTATCGAAAAAAACTCTTAGCAATAATACATTCAGAAATATTATATTGGCAAAGATCATTTCAACAGGATACAAATTATATGGAGTAGTAAAGATGGAATCAAACTGCATTATCATGCACACACACACCAAACTAGCTAGTACTCGACAACATGAACAATAAAAATAGGCTCTACCTCTACAGGCATTGTAAATTAGAGGGTTCTGAGCAGACAATTTTTCTACTTAGACGTCCTGCTAAGGCCTAGAACAGCAAGCACAATAAGGAAGAAGAATGCCAGAGATCCAAGCAATGACAGGGCGGCCGAGGCTACGACTTGGTGGCAGAATTTTCCGAAAACATTGCAGACCTTGTTCCATTGCACGTGTGTATTCCCTTGGTACCCCATCAGACCAATTGCCCCGGTGGATCCAATGGCGGAGAAGAGCAACGCCACCATCGTCAGATCAAGCACGATAACCACTAGCCCTAACCTATTTTTCTTTCCCCGATTTGCAAACAAAAGGACTAGGGAAAATGCTGCATATGCGCATGCTATGACATCTGCTACCACAAGGTACCTAGCACATAGTCAATCTTGGTAAAATTAGTTACTTAAATAATTACTGCACAATTAACAAACAAACAAGAAAAAGATTTTAGTCAAGAAATAACACACGTAGGTAAGGATACAAGTATAGTAGTCTAGACTGAGGTGTCCAGGACCACGCTAGCTGATTGAACATTAGTGAGAGAAAGTGGTTTACGTACTTAGGAGGGACTTGAAAAGTCTTGTCGTGCATAACTATTTTGTTTTATTTTATATATAATGATGTTTTACTCTAAATGGTGAGAAATACGAGTTAAGTCACAGTAGGTCAGTGATAATAATTAGGCATTAAACTCGTTATTCAAATGAGTTGAACTTGATACTTCAACTTATAAGTGAAGTGGAACATCATTAAACTGAACTTTTAATGATGTCTTGCATAGAGGATCATACGTACTCAAATTCAGGAGGATGTTGGAAATTTTTATTGAGATAAGGCACGCGCAAAGCATTGACGGAGTGAGCTATGACTAGAGTGTAACTTTGAAGCAAAGACTATCTTCCACTACATCAATCTTCATCTATGACATATGTATGTTTTGTTTGGTCCGAGAAAAAAACTTCGTTTATGATTTTCGCCTAAGCCTCAAATTGTATGGAATGAACTCTAGTTTTACTCACGCTAGACAATAGTCTAAATAAATAAGTGCATGCGCTACAACTGCATTTGGTAACACCGTGTGTCAGAATAATAGTCACATTGAAAATATACGGTAATGTTCTCTTCATCTAGCTTGAGAGATATCTTGCACATTTAATGTTGTTAATTTCGACCACAATTAGTTTGACAACACAATATGTCACATTGCAAACATAACATATATAAGTAAGATTCTACCTCTTATAAATTTCAGATGGACAATTTTAAAACATAACATAAGCTGTTAATGAATTTGACTTATAACATAATTAACTTGAGGCTTGATAAACGAATACATGTGATGCATCAAAGGTTGGAAAAGAAAAACAACGATGCAATATAAACAGCATATATTGGGTATTTATGAGTTGTCATCATTTCTTGCCCATAAAACAATTATCTTGAACTCAAAGTCTACGAAATATCTTATCCACAAAATCCATTAGGTTGCATGGTGGTGTATTTATATATGTGGATTATCACATGTAAGTTTTCAATAATATTACACTTTAGAGAAAATCTTTCAAACTCAAACGATAATGGGAAAGCTTAACAACTAAAGATCGATTAGAGCATAAATGGACAAATAAGGTATTAGCTTTGTCCAATTGAGTTGTTGAAGTAATTTTGTATAAAACTTAGAGTTGTCGGGGTGTTTTCTTAATCAAATTTACTATTAATATAACTGGTGAAAATTACCCCGTGTGTGTGTGTGTGTGTGAGAGAGAGAGAGAGAGAAAGCTAGCTTACACAAAAGCAGATAAGTAATGCCACTTAGCCGTAGCAGGAATATCAATAGGAGGCAAGGTTGGGATGACCTTCATCGTTACAATTTCGGTTTGCTTACTGACTCTAAGAACAATAGAAGCCGTAAGAGTTAGCACCAAGGCCAAAATCCTCAGAATTGGCTCACACGTCCCACCTCTTTGGTTTGCTATCTTCACTTCCTTTTGCTGTTCCATCCCACTATTGCTCCCACTAAACTTGTTCTCCATATATTATATCCACACTACACAAATATTACCAATTAAATCACCAAAATACAAACCTAAATCAGAGATCTCCCAGAGAATCAGAAAAGAGATAGCAACAGTGAGGAGAAGAGACATGGGAAGAGAAATGAGCAGATGACCTTTAAATAGCAAGAGAGGAGGAGAGAGAGAATAGTAAATATTAGGGGATTGGTCTCTGTATTTTAACTTCATTTTAAGTTTTGTCATAAAATTCCAAAACTATTGGTCTCAAAACTTATCGCAATATAAAGCAGTCGTCCAAATTAAAAGGTTTTAAGAGGCAAATAAGAGATAGAAGTCCTAACGGGATTATCCACATGGAATATTACTATATATTATCACACGTTGAGGAATCAACACTCATGAACCTTGAGTTCAAAAAATCAAGAATTCAATTGAACCAAACCAATGATCCAATTTTGTGAATAATAGATATATTGGCCTTTGGATGAGGGGAAAGCTAGTGGTGGGGGAATTAAGTAGGTTTTGGTGTGTTTGAGATGGTTAAGGAGGAGAGGAGTGAATAAAGAGGGGAGGGAAGGAGGGCGGTCGATCTGAATGAATGCAAATGACTATTAGTGTCTGTGTGTGTGAAAGGGAAACAGACACGTCTACATGCTATATCGCTACGGCATATTGTTTCCAATGTACGTGATCTCAAATGGATATCCCGGCGCCATGTTTATCTAGCAGCTTTTCCGGGAGTCAAATATTATATATATATATATATATATAGTAATGCTAGGGAGATTAAATTTGTAGATGAAATTTTGTAAACTAAATGACGTAAGAGTTGATAATCGAATTATTACTTAAACGTTGATAAACTTTCTCATTTTTTATTGGTGACACATCATTTAGTTTACAAATTTTGTCTTTCTAACATTACTCATATATGTATTGGACAAGTAGATCCAAAAAAATTCAAGATAACTTTTGAATTTTGATTGGTTGGCCAAGTGGCAAGAATGAATACTGTTGCGTGAGTTTGAAGAATCTAAACTCAATTGTTAGATTTCTCTCATGTGTGACATTTAAGATTTTCGAATTAGTGATTGTCTGTAAATAAATAGACAATTTAATTTGATACATACGAGTAATTACATGTTTGATCTTGGGAGGCTCTTTTGAGCTTTTAAGTTCTTAAGAATTATTCATGCAAAAAATGGACCAAATCAAAAATTGTTTGGTCCTTTGATTTGTTATAATTTTGTTTTGACTTTATCTAAAGAACATTGTTGTTTTACGCGTTTTAATATGACCAAATAATTTTTTTTTTATATACGTATACTTACCTAAATCGAATTATATATGCTCTGTTTGATCTATTTACCTTACAGAACAAATGATTAAAATATTTAAGCTACTAGGGTTAGCTCAGTAGTGAGGATAGATAGAATAATGAGTAGAAGAAACAATTTTGATTGCATACTTTAATTCCAAGTAATTATATTAATAGGATGATGATGATTTCCACATCTTTTGAAATATATAATTGCAAGGTAAGTACTTGTCCTCCTTTTCAATGATTCCGTTATAGTTTGAGTGCATGTGTGGACACTGGATATGGATGGCAGCAACTACGATCTGTCAGAAGAGAAGAATCTGCTCTCAAGTTTTTTTATGGCAAAATGTGAAGGTGCACGTCATGGCCTCACGCGGCTACTTCAGCGGATGACTAAGATGCGATAATATGAGATTGGTATGTTGAGATCTAAGGTTTACTAACTATGCTAATAGTAATACGACGAGGTAAGCTGAGATCTAAGGTTTACTAACTATGCTAATAGTAATACGAAGAGGTAAGTTGGAAATATTATACCGATAATAACTAACTAACCCTACTTCTGACAAACATTTCAGAGATGAAAAATCACCAAACAATTCCAGCCTGAATTTGTCTGGAAAGTTGTAATTATCAGCTCTGACTGCAGGGAATGCCAGCGAGCAGTGACTTCAATTCTGATCATGAACATTGGTGAAGTAGTTGACAGAAATTCAAGAAACCAACCTACTTGTTCTCAAAAAGTTATGACGCATTAAAAAAGGTATGGTATGGCTAATTATAATATAATAGTTTTCTAATAGTCCAGTTTAATTATTAATATATTATACTACCATTGATCTTTGGCTTATTAATCCACTCTGTGGTTTGAAAACTCTAATTCCTTCGGACAGAGTTTCTCCATCGAGTTTCCAGGCTTGCCATATATATAATATTGTATAATGGTAAATACACGTACCGTATGTTTGCATGAGTCAACCGAATGTTTTTAGTGTGTAATTAGAATTTCTTAATTGTCTCTTATACTACAAGTTTTGTGTAACCTATATATATATATATATATATTATATCTTCGAAAGAGAGAAGAATAACAACAAATTAAACCCTAAAATTATCTCCGTAGTCGGTCTCTGTATATACACACATGCATAAAAGATTTTAGTTTCAACACACGCAATATGAAGAGTATAAGAATTGAATGGAAGTGACAGAAGCCCCCATAACAGAGTTCGGTCACTGTTCTACACTGAAAGTAACAAACGTCAAACCATGTGCATGCCATGTTATGTTGCTAATATTAGTCCGAATCAGAGCCACATATTTAGATATAATTTTGATTCCACAATTCTTCTGATCAGTAGGCTAGCTACTATATATGTGTGTGTACGGGTCATGCCTGTTTGTGCAGTATTGATTATCGTTAATATTAGTCCGAATCAGAGCCACATATTTAGATATAATTTTGCTTCCACAATTCTTCTGATCAGTAGGCTAGCTACTATATATGTGTGTGTGCGGGTCATGCCTGTTTGTGCAGTATTGATTATCGTTATATAACCTGCACGTCTTGCTTAAGTACTAATTTTGTACTGAGGTACTTTTATCAAAAGTGTGTATAAAAAAAAACTAAGTTCAAAAAGGTGTTTAGTAAACATTTAAAAACAACTTATTTTAATAGTTTTAGGTGAAAAAAAGCTGAAAACGTGAAATAGCAAAAATAAGCTTATTCTCAGAGCACAACAAAAACAGTTTTTATTCAAAGCACAACAACAAACCAGCCCTAAGTTGTGCAGAAGAAAGCGTGTACGGTGGAGTGTTGTGCGAAAACAAATGTGTAGCATATGTAAAAATACAACCGTTGAGCTTTTTCTCTCTCTCTCTCTCTCTCTCTCTCTCTCTCTCTCTCTCTCTCTCTCTCTCTCTCTCTCTCTCTCTCCATGCCTCTCCTACTTTCACTCTAAATTTTTCTTCAACAACTCTCTATATTTGATTATTCGACATCGAGAAATTTCTTTTAGCGCTTGAAAAGTAGAACACTTTTTTTATTTTTTTGGCATGGAGAGGAGGACAATACTATAGCCAGCAAGAAATAACAACTTCCCTTTCCCCATAATAATAGACAAACTCCAACTATGTCAGGCTTTGATTGCTTTCAATTAACTAATCAAGTAGAGAATATTCTCCTAATCATAAGAATTACACCAATTAAAGAGTAATGCTAGGGAGATCAAAATATTTAGACCAAATTTCAAACCAAAATGTCTAAAGTACATGACGCTCGAACGATCTGGATTAGAACAAGAGGTTTAGATAGATTCAAGTATGCTACTCTAATGAGGTTAGTCATATGGGAGTAAGCTATTCTGATGAGGTTAGTCATATCAAAGTAAGCGACTCTGATAAGCTTAGCCTAGTCGGAGTTAGCTACTCTCATCGGAGGAGTCAAATTTCTTAGTCTAGATCAAAGTAAGCTAGTCCAATTGGAGTAGTCAGGCTAATCCGAACGAAGAGACAAGTCAGAACACCAAGTGTAGTTAGACAACCTTAGTCAATTAGACTAGGGTTATGACCATTATAAATATTACTTGTCTCCCAAGTAAAGGAAACTTAATTCACGTCAAATTATGATATCTTCGAGATCAGGCAACATAATCATAATCCCAGGGGGTTTAGATATCTTATCCTAAATTCCCTCATAGATATTTTCCCAATTTAATAGGGAATACTTTCCCTATAAAGACTCTCAAGATCCCTATATAAATCCTAACTTCAGTCTACAATAATCTATATATTCTCCACATACGCCAGTCTACGCATAGCCACGTCCATGAAGGTTCATCTCTCCTACACGCCCCGTCATAGGCTTATTTGCCAAAGATGGTTCACGATGTAGCATCATCACACTACTCATTCTCTAAGACAACTACACCTGAGATTTGATTCTTCATTCATGGAGATATGTAAGAAATCCAACACGGATTCAATCACATCCCCAATCAACCCCATTCAACCCTTGCCGGCATTTATGGGTGTCTACGGATGTACACAAATTTCATTCCAACAATATGTCTTGCACATATGCATATTTATGCATGTGTACCTTTTAATTAGTATATTTGGCAAGTGAATATATGTGCATATTGGTTAAATAGATAATATATTTTCTTATTTTACTATTGTTTTAGGAAAATGCTCGGCATGTCACATTTTTGTACCACATTAGTGCACCATACGAAGGGGCAAATGATGTGTATATATCACGCCAATCAATGAATCTATTTGATTACATATTGATTGTATGCATCACTTGCTATATGAGATGGTACATCAATGTGGTTTAAAAATGTCTAGCATTACTCATTTGTTTATTCTCTTACTTATAGGTATAAATTATGCATTTGTATATTTTTTTATTTTTTTATTTTTTGACAAACGATATTATCTACACTAAGAGGGGGAGGGGGAGTGGACTAAGCCTCACAATGAGCTAGCAATAATATGGTTCAAATTCATCTTTGGCGAAAATCAAACCTAAGACATCTCACTTATCAATAAAAAGGAATACCATTAGACTGTAGTATTAAGTGGCTACAACTTAATAAGTTCTATACTTTTGGGCAATTAGCTAAAATAAACATATTTTGATATTGGTAATATTTATAAAGTATGTTGTAAATAATGGGTATGTTTGCCCACATGTGTATGGTAAAGTATCACATGTGAATAGTAAGTTTTGTAAGTTTCCATTGAAGTGGCTCTATAAATAGAGCACTTAGATTGTTCAAATGAAGATAACGTTAAGGAGAGAAAAGAAAG